CCGTGCACCATCAACCACGTGTATGCTTGGTGCCCAGGGAAGCCAGAAGGGTGTCAGAGTCCCTGGAACTGGAGTTATAGATGATTGTAAGCCACCATGTAGGTGCTGAGAATTGAATTTCAGTCCTCTGGAGAGCAAGTGCTCTTACTGATGAGCCATCTCTCCAGCCCCCTTGACTGCAATTTCTTCCTGTTTATGGGAAGAACATCCGGGTTGTTGAAGAGAGCTGTTGGGAGTGTTCATGTATGGATCTTTGTGTGAACAGACCCATTTTCCCTGCTGAATTCCAAGGGCTGCTGCGCTGTGCTGAGAGCTGTGTGTGGCTTCATGGAAACTTACAGACTGATTTCCAGTTCCAGTTGCTCTTCCTCCAGCCAGCGGCTAGTGTTGGTGTTTGCCACTCTTTGTGAGCAGCTTTGCTGTAGTTCCTGCTTGTGATTGTGACTTGTAGTTACATCACCAGTGACTAATGGTGTTGAGCATCGTCCTGTGCTGCATCACAGTTGAAGATCAAACACTTTGCTCACTTCTTTTTGTTTTTAATTTTTATTTTATGTGTTGTGGATGTTTTGCCTGTATGTGTATCTGTGTACCACATGTGTGCCTTGTGCCCACAAATGCTCAAAGAGGGTGTCAGAGAAGCTAGTACCCTTAACCACTGAGCCATCGCTCCAGGTCGTCCCCCCTCCCCCCCCCCCCCGCCAGAGAGAGAGAGAGAGAGAGAGAGAGAGAGAGATTTTTTTTTTAAAGACCAGTTTCTCATTGATCCTGGAGTATACCAGTTGTTATAGACTGCCTGGCTATGGAACCCCTAAAATTCTTCCATGCCTCCACAGTGCTGTGATTACAGGCATGTGACATTTTACATGGAGTCTGAGGATGGAACTCAGATGCCCATGCTTGCATCTATCTTTTGCCTCTGGGCTTTTCCCATTTTCTTCTGTAAATCTTACTCTTACTCTGTGGCTTGCTGTGTAGTTGGGTGGCTGGCCCCTGATGTCCTCCTCCTTCTCTGGCTCCTAGATCTTCAATCCCTCTTCCCAGATTTTTTTTCTTCTATATCTACTCTCTGCCTGCCAGCCCCACCTGTCCTTTCTCCTGCCTTTCCATTGGCCAGTTCTTTATTAGACCATCAGGTGTTTTACACAGACACAGTCACACAGCTTCACAGAATTAAACAAATGCAGCATAAACAGAAGGAACACACCTTAAAATAATATTCTACTACCGTTAGGCCAGCCTCCATCCTGTCTTGAGGGAAGCAGGCCTCTGCTGCTGTGATAGGAGCAGATCAAGAGGTTCCTTCTCTTCCCGGCTTGCTGGGAGTTTTTAGTGTGAATATTAGAATTGCCCGGTAAGCTGGAGTTTTTCCAGCCTGCTCCTGCAAACTACCACATTCCTCCTGCACAGTCCAAGAGGCTCCCCACATCCTCAGTTGTTGCCACAGCAACCCCACTTGGTGCCAGCTTTCTGTGTCAGTTGACGTCTGGAATGATAGCAAACACCCAAGGAACCAGCTTAGAGGGCTCCGAGTTACAGAGATTGCTTCCAGTCCGTGGTGAAGCGGCACCTCATGACGGCAGCACACATCATGACGGCAGCATGCGTGTAATGCAAGCTGCGCACAGGATAGCTGCCAACAAAACCAAAACAAACCCAGGAAGAGCCTGGGTCCCATGGTCCCTTTTAAGGGTGTGTCTTCCACTGGGTCCTCCTCCTTAAACATTCTACCACCCAATAGTGGCACAGGTACCAAGCCTTTAATACACAGCTCCTGAGGCGACTGGACCAAACCACAGCATTTTGATTGAGGGTACATGTGGGTTTTTGTTTTGTTGTTCCCCCATCCCTGTTTAGCGTGCTGAAATGGTAAATTAAAATTATTTTCAAATGCTGAACTAGCATTTCATTCCTAGAACAAAACCTCACTTGGCTGTGTATGGTAATTAATATTTTTATGTCTTTCTAGATTTAGCTTGCAAATAACCTGTGGAAGAACTTTGCATCTATGTTCATGGCAGACATTAGTGTAGGATGCTTTCTCTAGTCCCTTCCTCTCTCCTGCTCCTCACCTTCTATCTTCTTTCAACAAGGTCTGGCTGTGTAGCCCAAGCTAGCCCAGATCATCTTATCTCCGCTCCCTGAGTGCCAGGACTGTGGGTGAGGGCCAGTGACCACGCCCAGCTTTAGTGTGTTTGATTGTTGTGCTGTTTTTGTCTTGGTGGTAGAAAGGCAATGCTGACCTCCTGAGTTGAGGCATTTCGCCCTTTTGTGTTTTCTGGAAGATGGTTTGTAGATTTGTTTGCTTCCCTCTGTCTTCTGCTTGTATCTCCTGTGCTAGGGATGGAATCCTGGGCCTCATGCATGCTCGGCAAGCGCTGGTCCGTGCCTCTGGATCTGCTGAGTTTTCTTCTTTAGAGCATTTGTGCTTCATTGACTTTGCTAATAGCCAGTTCTGTCCTGTTACCAGTTTGGCTCGGTAAGCTTTGGAGGTTGGGGGCAGTAAGAGTTGTTTTATTTTGTCTGCTTGTGAAGTGGGTGTCTGAGATCTCTAGTGCTCTTTTATTCCTGATAAAGAGAATTTTCTGTCTTCTTTTTATCTTTGTTTAGCAGGAGGTTTTATGAATTTTTTCAATCTTCCTGAAGGACTAACATCTGGTTTTTATTTTCTCTATTTTCAAGTTGTTTCTGATATTATCTTTATTGTTTCCTTCCTAATGCTTCCTCGGTGTTCAGTTTGCTCTCTCTGTCTCTGTCTCTGTCTCTGTCTCTGTCTCTGTCTCTCTCTCTCTCTCTCTCTCCCTCCCTCCCTCCCTCCCTCTCCCTTCCCCTCTCTCCATCCCTCCCTCTTCTAGTTCTTATTTTTTCATGCAGCTTAGCTTGTACAGTGGAAATCTCCCTCCAGTAGAAGCGCTAACACTCACACAAATCCTGACATGTTGTCTTCATTTTTATCCCACTCCTCACGCTTTCTAGTGTCCTTGGAGAGGCTGTTTCTACAGGTCATCTCCCCGGTAACCTGTGCTTTCCAGCTGCCTTGCTGCCACAGTAGCTGCCTCTCAACTGCAGTTTCATTTCCCATAGTTTAGTTTTCCAAGTTCTACTGTGGTATAAAAATATTACAGACGCCGGGCGGTGGTGGCGCACGCCTTTAATCCCAGCACTCGGGAGGCAGAGCCAGGCGAATCTCTGTGAGTTCGAGGCCAGCCTGGGCTACCAAGTGAGTTCCAGGAAAGGCGCAAAGCTACACAGAGAAACCCTGTCTCGAAAAACCAAAAAAAAAAAAAAAAAAAAAATATTACAGAGAAAATTCCCGAAAGAGATAGCTTGTAAGTTTTCAGTTGCATGGTTTCCCAAATGGTGGAGTGAAGTCCTGCAGGTTCCCAGAGTTGCATGCACAGCCCAGCTGGTGACCTTGGTGGCCCATTAGGAGCTCTGGTGAGCATAGGTGTTGAAATACACTCCCACCACCTATGGCTGAGCTTCTCTGTCCTGCCCAGCTCTCGTGGCTCTCTGGCATCAGACTGCCTGGGATATTTGTGTTTGCCTCCAACCTGCAGCTGTTGTTGAGTCAGGGCACATCCTGTGAGGGAGTCCCTTGCCTGTCCCTTCTCTTCTCTGAACATAGTGCAGTGAAGACAGCCTCTTCTTTGTCACCCTGTCAGTGAGGACCCGTGGGGTCCCCATCTTAGACACAGAACAACATGGAGTCCCTATCTTAAACATGGAGTAGAAGAGGGTCTTGTCATAAACCCAAGATGGAGAGGGCTCCGTCTTAAGTGGAATCACTGTTTTTTCCATGAAAATGATAGACACTTTCTGTGGCACAGATACCTTCTGGACATCTCCTGTGGCCAGCGTAGGAAGGACGGTTGAGGGACCACTTTCCACACGTAGTTCTCAGGCACCAGGACAGAAGCATGCTGCTTTCATGTGAGAGGAGGCCAAGCTCCAGGGCTGTGCCTCTTGTCTTCTTGCTACTTCCTTGTCATGTTGAGGACCCGTGGTAGCTCAGTGTGGAAGCAGAATTCCAGGCCTACCGTTTGAGACCCAGCCTAGACTTCTAGGGACTTGTTCGTCTTGAATGTGAAGCAGTGCTGGGGAGCCAGTGCTATTAATTAGTTTGTTTGGGACGGGGTCTCTCTAGGAATCCCTAGTTGCTCTGGGACTCGCTGTGTGGATCAGGCTAGGCTCAAAGAGATCCATCTACCTCTGCCTCCCAAAGTGCCGAATTAAAGGCATGTGCCATTTTAATTTAGACAGCTGCCCCATAGACAGCTGTTTACTGTGCTGCCCCACTGAGCAAGTGCCACAGAGCAGGATTTAGGTAGAAAGCGATCAGTATTTATAGATTGCTGTGGAGGTTTCTAGAAAGCTTGCCAAGGCAGGTGTGCAGTTCCACACCTTTGGTGGGCTTATTTGTCTTCAAGAGGTTGTTCAGGGGCTCATGTATGTGTATGTAGTGTGGTGGAGTGTGTGCCCAGGTGTGGGTGGCACAGATGACTCCAGGAAGGTGTGCGCTTACTTGGGAAGAAGTCAGACATGCAGAGTTCTGCAGAAGCTGACCCAGAGGCCATGTGCTCACTCTTTGGCAAATGTTCGTACAGCTGTATGGATCCTGGGCATGTCAACAGACTGTCGCTGAGTAGGCAACACTTGTCTCCATGTAGCTCAAAGACCTTAGAGCAGAATGTTGAGGCGAATTCATGCCTGCTTCATGGAGGTGAAGCCAGGCCTGGGATGAGAGGCTGTCTTCCCACAGCTAAGCGCTGTGTTCTGTTGGTGCCAGCACCCTGGCCTTTGGAAACCTCCCTGTTCTTCAGTCCCACATGCTTGGCATTCAGATGTCTTTTCTCTAGCCCTCCCATCCAGCCCTACCTGTTGGTGCCCCTCACAGGAATGCTCAAAGGTAGCCGAAACAGGGCCAGACCTGCAGTTTTCTGGGCAGCTGCACAGTGTACTACGAAGCATGCTACAAGGCTGAGCTCTGTGTCTTGCAGGTTATGTAGCCTGACCCTGAAGAAACTGGCAGTGCTCCGGGAGCTGGAGAAGGAGCTCCTGTCCGTGGTGATTGCTGTCAAGATGCAGGTGAGCCCTTACTGCACACCCCCAAGTGTGGCCAGCCTCACTCTCACGTGGTTCCTGGACTGTTCTCAAAGACCCCCACCCTACACTGAGCCACCCACCCAGAGCTTTCTTTCATGCCTCTCCCAGGGTGATAGGCTTGAGCAGGAACAGGAAGAGGAAACAGGACGTGGGGCTTTTTGGACTAGAGCCTGCCCCGGTGTTTTGCCCACCCTTGTGGGTTCCTAGAGGAGCCTGTGACTGGGTGGGCTTGGATGGCACCCTTCTTGGGGAGAGCAGCCCTAGCTGTCCAGATGTGTCCACTGGGTCTTTGGCTGCCTTTGCTGTGCTGAGGACTGCCAGGCTCCAGTCCACTCGCAGTGGACAGGATGTGGATTTTGACTCGTGGCTGCTCACGTGGAACTCCTGGTGGCCCTCTGCTGATGACCCTTCACAGGTGTGTGGTGTGTGCAGGGCAGGTGTCAGGCAACCTCACACCAGGCCTGTATGTGCCTGGGTAAGCTTCGCCAGAGAGTACCTGGGCCCTGCTAAAGTAGCCCGTGTTTGACCCCACTCATACGACCTGTGGCACTGGACACATTCTAAACCTGTTTTAACAGTTGTGCTAAGCCTTGGCCCTGGGTCAGACTTTCATCTGTCATTCGGGGTCTCCTCTGTCTCACACAGAACCCTCCCATCCATGCAGGACCCTCCCATTTTGTCCTGAGATGTGTGCTTGGAATTCAGAGAGGCCTGGCTTCTGTTTATGGTAAAGATGTGGGAGACACTCCTCCCTAGAGGTGCTGTGGGTTCTTGGCATCTAAACACGCAGGCAGTTCTCCACCTGCTTGGCTTTGTGCCAGACTATGCCAGTATGTCGTCTGTGCAGTTTGAATCTGTCTTAAACATCTCCTGCTCTTCCTGTCCCTGTGGCAGTATGTGTTTTAAGTGGCATATCTTATTGGCTCCACACACCCATAGCTGTGCATTGTCCTTACAGAGGCCGTCAGTGGCCTGTGCTGAGCTTTGGTGACTGCTCCTTTGGCAGGAGCTGTTCTTGGTTTTCCCCCTTCCATTTCCTGGGCAGAACCCAGCACTGGAATCAGGTTTTAGGGGTCCTGGCAAACATTCCTGCTCACACACATACACAGACCTCATCCCCACCCATTGAGGCCTTTATCATCATAGTTCAGAGTGCTGGTATAAGGATGCTCTCAGCTGGTTCGCTTTAACATGCCCTAGATCAGAAGGGGTGTTTCCTTCCAGGGTTCCAAGCGTGTCCTGAGATCACACGAGATTGTGCTGCCTCCCAGTGGACAGGTGGAAACTGACCTTGCTCTGACCTTCTCTCTCCAGGTGAGTCTGACACCTGGGTAATGAGGACCCTCCCTTGTCAGTGCTTTGGATGATGAACTCTTCCTCCTTGGTGCCCAGGGTGATGGGCACACTCTGTTCAGTGCCCTGGAGGTGATGGACTCACTTTCTGCACAGTGTCCTGAGTGATAGATGTGCCCTGGTTAATTCCTTGGAGGTGAGGGACATGTTTCCTCATCAGTTCCCTGAGTGGTGGAGACAAGATCAGTTCCTTGTCGTGTCCTGGATGTTGGTCATGTCCCTGTCAGAGCCCCCTGTGTTCTTACTTTGATCTTCTCTTGATCAAGTTTATTCTCTCTCCCTTCCTTCCTTTCCCCTTCTTTCCTTCCTTCCTTTCTTTTTCTTTCTTCTTCTTTTTTTTTTTTTTCCCGAGACAGGGTTTCACTGTGTAGCTCTGACTGTCCTAGAACTCCCTCTGTAGACCAGGTTGACCTCCAACTCACTGAGATTCACCTGCCTCTGCCTCCGAAGTGCTGGGATTAAAGGCGTGCGCCACCACTAACCAACCAAGGTTTATTATTATTTTTTTTTAATTATTATGTATACTGTGTTCTGCCTGCATGTATGTCTGCAGGCCAGAAGAGGGCTCCAGATCTCATTACAGATGGTTGTGAGCCATGTGGTTGCTGGGCATTGAACTCAGGACCTCTGGAAGAACAACCAGTGCTCTTAACCTCTGAGCCATCTCTCCAGCTCCCAAAGTTTATTCTTAAACAATTAGAAATTTTTATTGGTTTACTCTTCCCCCTCTCTCATAATAAAGAAAATGGAATGGTGAGGTCTGTGTAAGCTGTTTCATGCTGTGACAAAATACCTGTCAGAAGCAAACCCAAGGAGGTTTCTGTTGTGATTTGAGCTGCAGTTCACCATGGTGGGAAAGGCAGCTGGTCACAATGCATCTGCAGTCAGGAAGCAGAGGGCAGTGATTGCGGATGCTCAGCTCTCTTCCTCCAGCCTAGAACCCAAGGAACTACTTACATTTAGAGTAGTCTTTCCACCTCAGTTAACCTAATCTAAATACATCCCTCACAGGTATGTTCAAAGGATAGCCTGGTCTAGATACTCCTGACTGGAGCACACCAGGGCCTGTCTCCTAGGCGATTCTAGATCCTTCAAGGTGACAGTCAGTATTAAGCATCACAAGGATCAAATATATTATCAAGTCAGAGTTATTTTATTTTCTTGTATAGCAAAGATTGGCAAGACTATATGGAAACCCAATGTATTAAATTCAGAGTTCTCTGAGTGCCTTGTGGAGAATGTAGACTGTCAGTCCAGATCATCTGCTTCTGGGTTTTGTGCACTACTGCAGCGAATCCAGTTTATTGAAGTGTAATTTACCAAATACACCTGTATCAGGTACATGGCTCCCATAGCTTCTGAGAAATGTGTATGGATGACCAGCCTGCTTGGAGACTAGAGTTTAACCCCGCTTCCAGAACTTACACCAGGCTCTAGTTGTGAGTTCTGAGAATCCTGTGGGAGCTGCTTTCACTGAGTGAAGCCCCTGTCACAAGTGCAGGTTCTAGGCATGGGCAAGCTACAGCAGATGGGACTGTTGCCTGGCAGTTTAGCCAGGGAGTGCACAGGGACCCACAGAAGGCACCCAGCTACTCCCACACATGGGAGACCACCAAAGACTTAGGGCTGTACATAAAGAGAAGCAGCCAGTCTCTCTTCAGGTGTCCCTAAACATGTGAACCCATCTCAAAAACAGATAAGTCCCACTAGTGTGGAAATGGAATCCCTGACACTAAGCAGAAGGTGGCCTCACTGACGTTGCAGATTCCTGAGGGTGGGCTGACGAAGGGCTGGAAGGACCAAGACGCTGGAAGGCCTTAGCGGTGTCGGCAGGTGCTCCTTAGGGACCTTGTTGACTATGTGGTCTAATGTCTGTGCTGCACCGGGCATCAGGCAAGCTTGCTTGTGTCTGCAGTACCCCCACTTCCTGAAGAGAGAAGGCAACAAGCTCCAGATCATGCTGCAGCGCAGAAAGCGGTACAAGAACAGAACAATCCTGGGCTATAAAACGTTGGCTGCAGGCTCCATCAACATGGCTGAGGTAGGTGTCTGGGCTGGTGTCCAGGACTCCAGAACACTCTGAACAGATTTCTTTTATGTGTCTGATAGACCATTCTCCAGGTCATCAGAGAATCCACAAGGTTGGGTCCCACACTCATGGCAGGATGCCACTCTGTAGCTACTTCCCAGGTCCCCAGTCCTATGCTGCGCGGCATGGCTGCTCCTGTACCTGTGGTCAGGTGTACTCCGCTTCCCAGAGGAGTGCTTGGCGCTGTCTGTCAGGACTCCTTCCTTCCACAGCTCCTCTGGTGCCCCCTTCGTCTTCACCCTGCCCTAGCAGCTCAGAAAGGACATCAGCTAGAGATTCCCATGTCTCCTGGGGAGACTGAGGAGACAGGGTGGGCTCCTAGGCAGATGAAGCCTCCAAGCTGAGCAGCTGGACCCCTGTTAGCTACATGAACAGCCTGGGAGAAGAGGCAGCTCAGCATTGTCCACTTTGTCTCTACGTCATAGAGCTTTCCTCTTTTGGAGTTCCATCTAGTGTCTAGGGCAAGCACAGCTGTGTTGGTGGCCACCTGAGGCTAGAAGGTTGGCTGCAAGCCAGATCGTGGCACTGCCCCCAACCTGAACTACCCAGGCTTCTGGGCTGCCCAGCACCTACTCAGCTACTTGTGCATTCAGGCACCCCATCCTCTTCTTCCTCTGCTCTGGCCTAAGCACCCAGTCCTGCTACAGCCTGTCTCTTGGAACTTCCCTTGTCCTCCTAGGCTGAGGCTGCCCTTCAGTTTCCTAAGCTGTGCTGGAGTGACCGCCCCAAAGGTACACCTGCTGCAGCACCTGTGTTTTAAAGATTTCATGCCTCCTGTGTCCTGTCACTCCTAAGGCTCCCCTCACTCACTACAGTCCCCAAAGCCCACTTCTCACCCTCTCCTGCTACCCTCCTCTGTTTTTACTCTCTCCAGCTACCTTAACTTTGAAAATGAATGAGGGAGTTAAGAGGAGTTGGCTCCCCAGGTTGACTTGGCTTCAGCCCCTTGTGGTAACTCACTGTCACCAGCTCCTGGTGGGCCAGAGGGTTCCCGAGTGCTGAGCTACAGAGGTGCTGAAGAGGGAACTGCTACTACCCAGGACTGTGCCTAGCCTGCCAGCACCAACCCAGGATGTTCCCAGAAGCCCAGCTTTAGCCAGGGGTCAGGAGTTCTGGGCCAGGGAAGCTAAGGGGACATGAGGAAAAGGGCTGGCAGCAAAGCAGGATTGAGATAGGCAAAAGCCCCTCGGCAGGGCCTTGTCTGTGCCCGTCTGCCTGGGGCCTACCTGGCCAAAAAGGTTCTTTGTAGGTGAAGCAACTAGTACAGAATATGCTTCTGACTTTCCTGGCAGGACCAACCTTTCTCAGGACATCCCAGAGAACAGTAGGCTACTGTAGTCAGAGCAGGCATGCTGCCTACCCTCGCAGTATAGGAGGCCAGAGAGCAGGTTTTCTAGGTAAAGAGACTCCACCTTATCCTGGCTTATGCATGCACACGCACACACGCACACACACACACACCTCCCCCAATCTCCTGTTTCATACAAGCCTGGGTGTCCCTCAACCCCTGTGTTCAAATCCTGGTGCTGCAAGGGGTCAGCTTCCGAAATAGATGTTAATTTCTGAACAGATTGCTGTTCTCACTTAAATCTGAGGTCGCCCTTAGGGAGGAGCCAAGCACTCAGTGCATCCGTAGAGTCAGGTGAGAGAGGTTTTCCTCCGTGTGTCCTCCATGTGCACTTGGCACATGAAGGTCCCAGTATTTGGTATGGAGCTGTGGGCCTGTCTTCCTGGTTTCTGAAATGTTGGTGAAAATAAATGTGAATGTCCTTAAAATTTCTTTTCTCGCCGGGCGGTGGTGGCGCACGCCTTTAATCCCAGCACTCGGGAGGCAGAGCCAGGCGGATCTCTGTGAGTTCGAGGCCAGCCTGGGCTACCAAGTGAGCTCCAGGAAAGGCGCAAAGCTACGCAGAGAAACCCTGTCTCGAAAAACCAAAAAAAAAAAAAAAATTTCTTTTCTTCACTGATTAGAGTTGTCACCCTAAATCAGTTCCCAATTTAAAAAAATTACTATGTTTATTTATTTGTGTGTGTGTGTGTGTGTGTGTGTGTGTGTGTGTGTGTGTGTGTGTGATGAGTATGGAGGTCAGAGGACAGTTTGTGGCATTAGATTTTCTCCTTCCACCATGTGGCTGCTAGAGATTGAACTCAGGTCATTGCGTGGCAGCAATGCCTTTACCCGCTGAGACATCTTTGCTGGCTCCAGGTACCAATTTTTTTTTTTAATCTATAAAATTTTAACATTTGGGTCTGATCAAATGACCCCAGAGCAGCTGTGCATGTGCAGAGGCCCTGTCAGGGACAGGGCTGCCACTTGTGTCTGCTTCTGAGGCAGTGTCAGGGCCAGGACAATATCTAGGTCAGTACTGGTTCCTGCTGTCTTGAGTTTGTTACAACAGTTAGCCAGGGTCTTGGCCCTCCAGTGAGCCAGGCCTGGGCTTCTTGTGCCATAACAGACATGACCTATGTTGGTAGCTATTCTTCCTTGACTTCTGTACACGAGGCTTTAGACATCTGGTTTCCCAAGATTGGGTGATCCCCGGTCACACACTGTGACTGCTACTGAGGTTCCCAGGCTGGAACAGTAGATAGATGTGAGTGGGGGCCAGGAACTATTTAAGTGACTTCCAAGGGGCGGCATGGGTGCCAGAATTGGGTGATCTATAGATACATTCCTCTGTCTGCTTGTAATCAGAGAAATACCAAGCCTGGCACTGACCTCCCCACTCAGCCAATCTACTTGGTCCCTGGGCTTCCTCTGGTTTCCTGCTCGGCCTTCTACTAGGTGTCTGTTTCTTCTGAATATTGGAGCTCTCTGGGATGGTAGCCCTCCTGATGTCTAGAACCGTGCCCCCCAGGTAATGCAGCACCCCTCCGAGGGTGGCCAGGTGCTGAGCCTCTGCAGCAGCATCAAAGAGGCCTCTGTCAAGGTGGCTGAGATCTGGATCGTCTCCCTGTCCAGCCAGCCCATCGACCATGAGGATAGTGCAATGCAGGCTGGCCCCAAGGTCAAATCCACAGGTGAGTCACTGTGCCTTCTTCCTCTGCTCATGCCACTTCCTGCCCACATGTGTAGGAGGGCTGTCCCAGTGTGGTTGGAGAAGGTAGGGTGGGATGTGATGTGTCTATTGGATTTCTTTCTAGTTAGAAACTTTTGGGGAAGTCATGTGTGCTGTTGAAGTTCGGTCACAAGTTCTGTGTACCTACGATATGTAGGTGTCAAGGGGGTCTGTCATGCAGTACCTTTGATGCTCTGAGCACCCAGGTTCTGGTATGGGGCAGGTACTCGGCAACCATCATCTGCTGCTAATATCACAACTGGGGTCACTGTATTTCCCCTGCTCTCTTGCTCCACCAACCCCACAGCCATGTGTCTCAAGTTCCCCTGGTCTACCTGGGGCTGTCACCTTATAGCTCCCCTTTGCTCCCAGGGGATGTTCTGTTGCCAACTCATTGCCATGGCATCAGGTGGAATCTAAAGGTACTCTTCCTTCTGTGTGCTCATTCCGCAGATAACTACTCTGAGGAGGAGTATGAGAGCTTTTCCTCTGAGCAAGAAGCCAGCGATGATGCTGTACAAGGGCAGGTAACACTTTGAGCCTGAGGTGGGAGAGGCCCCTGACAGCTTCCATTTCCATCTCTATAGATAAGTGGCTTGGGACTGAAGGGGACTTCCCTGTGCTAGCCCATATGAGGTCTGTGGGTCTCAAGTGCCACGTGGGATGAGAAGGGCAGAGGAGCTGATGTGTGGCACCTGGTTGCTTCCTCCCTGGGGCTAGGACATGTCAGTGGGCAGCCCTGCAAGGCTTGGGAGTGTTAGAGGCCAGGTGATGGCCTCTGTCACACTGCCATGGGGTGGGCCTGCCGTGCAGGTGCTGTGGCCTCAGGCACTGTGCATGTCTACACAGGATCTTGATGAGGATGACTTTGATGTGGGAAAACCCAAGAAGCAGCGGCGCTCGATAGTAAGAACGACGTCCATGACCAGGGTCGGTGGAAACTAGTTTTACTAACACTGGGGAAGGGCAAGGAGGGTGGGCAGTGGCTGGGAGGCGCCCTGGGAGGCTGTGGGCGAAAGGACAGATGGCCTCACATGACATATGGCCCAAAAGATTCTTAGAATTCCCACTTGCCCTCGGGGCAGAATCTTGTCTAGCAGGCACCTGGCTGTTTTTAGTCAAAATAGACATAATAAGCCAGGCAGGCTTGTCTTCGGGCAGCCATTCTCTCACACCCCACTCCAACTTTATGTGGTCCTGGAGCCCTGGGGTCTGGAGTAGGCTGGGATAGCTGCCTCAAGCCCACAAACCTGCCTGTGTAGGCCACTGAGGTGATGTTTTGTCCGTTACCACAGCACTCAGACTCACCATGGTTGGGACCAGTTCCTTTTTGGGGGGATAAGACTGGTCTGCCAGCATAGAGACTGGACTTCTCAGCCTGCACAGTGACCATCAGCGGGCCTTGGGGCCCGGAACCAGGCTGCAGGACTGGCTGGCCTGGGTAGCCCTTACCAGTACTGACCAGTACTGACAGGACAGCACTGTCAGCCTTTGACAGATGAGAAAAGGAGGTTGTGGGCAAACAGTGCCACAGGACAAAAGCCACTCTGGATACAAACTGGGTCTTCCCTGAATACAGGCAGCACCATCGGGAGCTCATGGGCCAGCCTGAGGGCCGTGCAGGACGCACCCTCCCTGTTAGGGTCAGCTCTGAGGGTGGCCGAGAGCCCCTGGAGAACAGTGGCTGGAGCAGAGGCGCTGCGGCCAGCAGTGGGAGCAGCCTCACTGGACTCCTGGCACACAGGTCCCACGGTGTCGTCCACCCTGTGCTCTCCCGACCGCCTCTCACAGGGCGGCAGTCTCCTGAAGATGAGGTCAGGGCCTTTCCTGGGAGGTGCAGCTGTGGGAAGGTGCTGGAGAGCCTGGATAGAGCTGCAGAAGCTTCTAGAACTGCAGAGCCACCCTGTGCCCTTGCCTGGTTGCCCCTCAGTGGGTGTGGACTATCAGCACCTTCCTTCCCCGTGTTTCGGAGTCTGGCCGCAGGCTGTGCTTTCAAACACTAAGAACGTTCACGTGGCGTTTATGCCGTTTACACTTTGGTAGATGTGGGCTGTGTCCCCTCCTGTCCCTCACTGAGTCCAGAGTGCGATTCCTTGCTGTGTCCCGGAATGTAGCCCCTCCCCCTCATTCTAACGTGAGATTCTTGACTTCTTGTCTTACAGCAGCAGAACTTCAAGCAGAAGGTGGTGGCGCTACTGCGCAGGTTTAAAGTGTCAGAGGAGGTGAGTCGGCCAGGGCGCTAAGATGTGCTGCAGCCAGCTCCAGGCCAGGTCTGGCTCTGCACTTGCCATCTGTGGGTATTGCCCTCTGCCTGCCGGCCTGGATGGCAGCTGTGAGAAGCCAGCAGAGAGCCAGGCTCACCCACTGGTTTCTGTTGAACTCGGAGTCACGGTGCGCCTGTAGTAGGACGAGCAGAGGGCTAATCACTGGTTCTTATAAACAGACTGTTTTGGGGAGCAGTTTCGGGTTCATGGAAGAAGTAAGTAGAAAGTAGAGTTTCCATACCCCAGCTCCTGCCATGCACAGCCTGTTCTGTAGCCAACATGCCACGAGTGTTGGTTTCTTAGCTTTACTCTAATCCCCAGTCTTGGGTATTGAGTTTGTTCATCAAAAGAAAAATCATCAAACAGAGTCACGATTCTGGCCCCACAGTAGAGAGAGGACACTTGAATGCTTGTCCTCAAAGTGTGCACCCACCCTCTGCATCCATTTATGCAGGGCCGCACCCCACAGCAGCAGGGTCCCAATCCAGCCCTAGCACCAACACTTAGCAGCTGCTCTTCACATGTGCAGGTATTGAGGGTGGCTCTTCTCAGCCACGGGGCTTTCTGTGGGGCCAGCATCCCCTCTGAAACATCACCAGCATGATTCAGTGGAATAGCCTCCAGGACCTAAATCTTGAAGCTGCATCTCGTAGCGAGACAGACTCAGCCTAATTGAAAGTGTGCACATGGCAAGGAAGCTGCCTAGCCTAGGACCGTGCTTTTAGGTTGAGGAAATTGGATCATGACTGTGGAGTTTCATATTTACCAAGCGATAGGGCTACGTCTCCAAATAAACCTGTCATATTTGGCTTTTGTTCTGGCTTCTGAGACTCAGCCTAAACTCTGGAAAGTTTAGCCAACATCCTGGACATTGGTCAGGGAAAGAACATTTTTATTTTGATAGGAATAATCTCCCATGTTTGTGAAGAATTCATGCAAGTTATCAAGCCATGTGATCTGTTCCATATCTGTTCTGTGCTGTTCCCGTTCATGTGAGAAGACCATCTAGCCAGAAACTCCACCATGTGTCTCCACACCCTTGTTATTAGGAGTTACGCACAGGTACTGACTCTCCCACTCACAACCCACATCCTGGAACGTGTGCTCACCTGTGTGGGGCTGTAGACCAAAATACAGGCGGGCTGGAGAGACAGCTCAGCAGTAAGAGCACTGGCTGACTGCTCTTCCAGAAGATCTAAGTTCAATTCCTAGCACACACATGATAACTTTAAGCCATCTATAACTCCAGAGAATCCAGTGCCTCCTTCTGGCCTCTACCAACACCAGGCACACGTGTGGTCCACAGACATATATACAGGCAAAATACCCATACCCATAAAATAATAATAGTAATTAAAAAAGAAAATGGCAGGCGAGTTGCATATGTGTGTGTGTGTGTGTGTGTGTGTGTGTGTGTGTGTGTGTGTGTACTTTTTTTCTTTAAAGTACATCCAAAGAATGCTGTTCATAGTTGGAGAATGAAAAGCCAAAGGTGCTGGCAGATTCTTATCTGGAGAGGACTAGATCTTCATAGACAGTGCTGCATCTTCACATCCTCACACAGTGGATGGGAACAGCACTATTCCAAAGGCCTGCCTCTTACTGAATCACCTTGGGAGTTAGGTTTCAACCTAAGAATTTTAGGGAAGCTAGGTGGTGGTGGTGGTACACGGCTTTAATCCCAGCCATCTGGAGGCTGAGGCAGGCAGCTCTCTCAGTCAAGGCCAGCCTGGTCTACAGAGCAAGTTCCAGCACAGAAAAAAAAATTTAGGGAACACAAATATTCATATTAAAACATTCTGCCCCTAGACCCCAAAATTCATTTCCTTTCCTCACACAAAATATATTCATTCTAGCCCTTAAAATCTTTTTCTAGTTCCATCCATTTGCCTGCAAATTTCATGCTTTCGTTGTTTTTCTCTGCTGAGTAGTACTCCATTGTGTATATGTACCACATTTTCTTAATCCATTCTTCAGTTGACACTAGCCTTTGAAATCTTAATTCACTCTAGCATCAACTCAGATTCCTTTTGTTTGTTTGTTTGTTTTTGTTTTTGGAGACAGGGTTTCTCTGTGTAGCTTTGGAGCCTGTCCTGGAGCTCACCCTGTAGACCAGGCTGGTCTCAAACTCTCAGAGATCCACCTGCCTCTGCCTCCCTAGTGCTAGGATTAAAGGCGTGCACCACCACTGCCTGGCCAACTGAAATTCTTAAAAACTAGAGTGTCCAAGTACTGTCGACATCAATACTTGTCCAGGTGTGAGCATAAAATCAAATTATGTGCTTTCAAGGTAAGTTATGAGGCCAGCACAAGCACGAGGGCCTGAGTTTGTTTGTTTGTTTTTTATCTTTCGAGACAGGGTTTCTCCCTGTACCCCTGGCTGTTCTGGAACTCACTCTGTAGACCAGGCTGGTCTCGAACTCACAGAGATCCACCTGCCTCTGCCTTCTAAGTGCTGGGATTAAAGGCGTGTGCCACCACTACTCAGCTTCAGGTTCAGCAAGAAACCCAATCTCAAAAAATAAGGCACATAGAAATGGAAGGATTTTTTTTGTTTGTGTTTTATTTTTTTGAAGGGAGTTTCTCTGTGTAGCCCTGGCCATCCTGGAATTGCTTTGTAAACCAGGCTGGCCTTGAACTCAGAGATTCTCCTACCTCTGCTTCATGAGTGCTGGAACCAAAGGCATGCGCCACACACCTGATATTTGACATTAGCTTCTATCCTGTGAACGCACACACACACACACACACACACAGAAAAGAAAAAGAAAAAGAAAAAAGCAATCAAAATAGGATGTTTGGCAATAAGTGTTGTTTTGTGGCATTGTTTGTCCTCTTGGTCTTGTTCCTGCACATCCGCCTTTGTTAGCTAGCCTTCGGCTACTAGCCAAACAGTGGCACAGGCCCCTGTGGGGCTCTCATACATGTCAGCATTGCTGTAGGTTTTAGATTCGGAGCAGGACCCTGCAGAACATGTTCCTGAGGTGGAGGAGGACCTGGATCTTCTGTATGACACACTGGACGTGGAGAACCCCAGCGACAGTGGCCCTGACATGGACGATGATGACAGTGTCCTTAGCACCCCCAAGCCCAAGCTAAGGTAAGCCACGCCAGGTTGAAACTGCCACTTCTTTGTTTGTTTGTGTGTTTGTTTTTCAAGACAGGGTTTCTCTGTGTAGCTTTGGTTCCTGTCCCGGATCTCGCTCTGTAGACCAGGCTGGCCTCGAACTCACAGAGATCTGCCTGGCTCTGCCTCCCGAGTGCTGGGATTAAAGGCATGCGCCACCACCGCCCAGCTTGAAACTGTCACTTGTAATAAGCTTAAGCCTAGACAGAAGGAATTCTGAGTGGTCTGGCAGTATTGTTCTGGAATGGTTTGGGCTGGTAGAGTTGCCCTGTGATTGTGACCCATGTTTAACCCTGGGGAACCATGGGCTTGGACAGTTCTCATAGGGTAGACCAGCAGGGACATCCTGAGAGGAGGCAACATGAGTTGAGTCTAAGGTCATAGTGGATGGACAGAGCCAGGTAGCTTTTTCCCGATGGCCCAGAGAAAAGGATACCTTTGTAGAAAGGCAGATGAGGGAGGATGTAACTACTCCTGACCCACTGTAACTTGGTCCATAATCTTTTCACATGGTGGAATATTTCTCAGGGTGAGTGGTAACCATATGAACAGACCACGGTGCTTGCATGTGCATTGGGAGCTACAGACAGGCAGAACCATCTGGAGGTGGCAAGGAGGATCATCTAGGAAGGTTCTCTGTGAGGCCAGAGCTTGGTCCTTGAGGCAGGCTGTGGAGGAATGGGTGGCCCCAGGGTACCCCCACTGCCCTCGGGTTTGAAATATACTGGAAACTGCAAGCGTCTACTATACAGGCAGCAGAGGAGAGGCCCCAGCCAGCGCCCCTCCTTGGTTTGGCTGGGAGGACATCTGGCCAAGTCTGGCCTAGGGCAGAGAGAGAAGTAGGAAAACAGGCCAGTCCACACACATGCACAGACTGTGCTGATACCCGATCTCCTTACGGTCCACCATGAGCAGATGGGGGTCTTCTTCTTCTTCTTCTTCTTCTTCTTCTTCTTCTTCTTCTTCTTCTTCTTCTTCTTCTTCTTCTTCTTCTTCTTCTTCTTCTTCTTCTTCTT